GCGCCGCACAACAGAATTTCGCACACAATAACTCTAGTGTGACCGCAGCTTTATCAAATCTGTAAATGACAAAGCACCTGGAGCTCATTAATACTGGTTTTCTGCAGCTCAACCATTGACTACACAAACTGTCAGCACTCTCTTAACAGCTAAGACAATTCTTTTCGGCCTAGTTAATCTTGGGGCGCCACAGCGGAATGAACCACCAACTTATCCAGCATATGTTTTACGCAGAAGATGCCCTTACAGCTGCAACCAATTACTGGGAAACACCATACACACACATACACTACGGACAATTTCGCTCTCCCAATTCACCTAAACCATATGTCTTTGGACTGTGGGGGAAACCGGAGCACCCGGAGGAAACCCACGCCAACACGAGGAGAACATGCAAACACAGAAATGTCAACCGACCCAGCCGAGGCTCGAACCAGCAACCTTCTAGCTGTGAGGCGATCGTGCTACCCACTGTGCCACCGTGAGGCCTCTTTTTTTTTTTTCAAATCAAGCTAAAAAAACCCTTTCAAATTGAAAGAATTCTTGTTATTTGTGTTTTGTTTACTTTGAGATTTATAAAGATTTGAAGTTGTATTGAGTCAAGTATTTTAATTACTTGTTGATTAATTAAGTTACTTTTCACACAAAGTTGCTGAAATACAGCGCTATGGCGCTATGACTGTGACTCAATATTGGCATGTAGATGTCTTCCGGAGAGGATTTTAATCAACCATGTGAATTTTTAGGCAGGTGAGACATTGTGTGGCTGAGTTATAAGCCAAACTTCCTGTTGCCAGCAGGTGGTGCTATGACTGTGACTCAGTTTTGGCATGTAGATGTCTTCAGGAGAGGACTTTAATCAACCATGTGAAGTTTCAGGCAGATTAGACATTGTGTGGCGGAGTTATAAGCCAAACTACCTTCTGCCAGCAGGTAGCGCTGTGACTGACTCAATATTGTTATGTGGATGTGTTCAGGAGAGGATTTTAATCAACCTTATGAAGATTCAGGCAGATCGGACATTGTGTGGTTGAGTTATAAGGACTTCCTGTTCCATGGCGAAGCGGTGAGGTTTGTCACACGCCCCTGTGCGAAAACTCTAGATCTTCACAATATATCATCGCTAGAGCTTTCAGATGACACCACTCAAATTTGCTGCTGATACAATAAAGTTTGTGGAAGGAGTTTGTTACAGTGTAAAACATGTCATTTCCTGTGGCCAGCAGGTGGTGCTATAACTGTAGCTGGATATTGGCATGTAAACGTGTTCAGGTCAGGACCGTTATCAAACTTGTGAATTTTGAGGCAGATCAGATAATGCATGCCTGAGTTATAATGACTTCCTGTTTTGTGGCGAATCGTCAAAGTTTGCGAGGACACGCCCATCGACAAAAACTCTGGATCTACGCAATTTTATATGAAAGTTTTTTCATGAGAAAAGTAAAATTAAAATGCCTAAAAAGATCAAATAATAAATCAAAATTTTAAAACAACTACCCAAATGAAAAATCAAAAGTTCAAACAATCAAACAATAAATCAAAAAAGTATTCTCAAATGAGAAATCAAATATATTTGATTTTCAATTTTCATTATCAACTCGGTAAAATCAACTCAGAAATCATGGTAAACAAGCAGTGCCAATGAGGATATGCAGAGCAAATAGCTCTTAAATTCACAGACCTAGCAAACTTTTCTCAATGTAGCAGTGAGATTTTCTAAAATAAACAACAGATTGCATTAAGTTGCATAATCTGTGTGTAAGAGTAAGTAATGTGTGGCTGAATGTTTGACAAAATTTACAACCTTAATATTTATCTGTGCTACACTACATCCATGTGGTGTGACCATTAAGTGATTTGTTGGTTTTGTTTGGTCGGTTTTTGTCTAGTTTTACCTTGTGTCCCCTGTGCCTGACTGAGATCCCAAATTACTTTGCATGGTTTTGTTCATTAATTACTGTAGTTCCCACGCCTCTTCTCATTCTCCCCGATTGACAGTCTGTATTTACAGCATGGCAGGTATCCTCCTCAGTTACCATGTACAGTATTGTTTGTTTGCATTCTGGCGGTTGTTTCTATTTCTCTTGTGAATTCTCTTTTTGGATTTACTATCAAAGCTTCCTTTGTTCCTATACTTGTTCTTCATGTGCTTTGTACAACAACCGTAGTGCAGATTAATGATATTGTGTTCAGTGTGTACTGTTTGATATCATTCCCAATGCACACAGGCATACTAGATTATGGAGTACATCGTTGGATACAGTGTTTACTTTCATTTTTAGGAGAAAAAATATGCAAACAAACATACAAATAAAAAAATAATTAATTTTAATAATAAAATATTTTATATTAAATATATCATATTAATTATTTTTGTTAAAGAGAAACGCAAAGTTTTTATTATAATTTTTATTATCATTAATAAACTTGATATATATTAGGTATTGGGTATTAATGATTAATTATTAGTTATTTATGTAAATGATCTACAGTGCATTTGGAAAGTATTCATAAGTATTCACTAGTATTCACTTTTTACACATTTTTTGCTACAGCCCTAGTCCAAAATGGATTAAATTAATTTATTTCCTCAAAATTCTACACACAATACTCCATAATGACAATGTGAAAATTTTTTTATGAAATTGTAGCAAATGTATACAAAAAAAAAACTTGAAAAATCACATGTACATAAGTATTCACAGCCTTTGCCGTGAAGCTCTAAATTGAGCTCAGGTATTCTGTTTCCATTGATCATTCTTGTGATGTTTCAGCAGCTTAATTAGAGTTCACCTGTGGTAAATTCAGTTAATTGGACATGATTTGAAAAGGCATACACCTGTCTATATAAGGTCCAAGGGTTGACAGTGCATGTCAAAGCACAAAACAAGCACGAAGACAAAGGAATTGTCAGTAGACCTCCGAGACAAGATTGAGGGGAAGGTTACAGAAAAATTTCTGTTGCTCTGAAAGTTTCAATGAGCACAGTGGCCTCCATCATCAGTAAGTGGAAGATGTTTGGAACCACCAGGACTCTTCTAAGAGCTGGCCAGCCATCTAAGCTGAGTGATCAGACGTGAAGGCCCTTAGTCAAGGAGGTGGTCAATAACCCGATGGTCACTCTGTCTGAGCTCCAGCGTTCTTCTGAGGAGAGAGGAGAACCTTACAGAGGGACAACCGTCTGTGCAGCAATCCACCAATCAGGCCTGTATGGTAGAGTGGCCAGGCAGAAGGCACTCCCCACCTGGAATGTGCCAAAAGGCATCTGAAGGACTCTCAGACCATAAGAAACAAAATTCTCTGATCTGATGAGACTAAAATTGAACACTGGAGTGAATGCCAGGCGTTACAGGCGTTAGGAGAAAAACAGGCACCGCTCATCACCTTTACATGCCAAGCTTGTGGCATCAGATTCAAAAATACTTAAAGGGCCATGAAACCCCCTCGTTTCAGCAGGGTGTTTTCACACCTCTACTTTGGAAAAAGTCAGAAAAGTGGGCGTGTCCAGCTCTGTTTAGGGGGGAGTGTCGGAGGAACGAAAGTGGGATGGTGTGGGAGTGTCTATTTGGGCACGCGCGAGTTTCAGTCAAAATACACACACATGAGAAAGTGATGGTGTTTAACCTACATGGACATCTGTAGTCGAATTATTTGCCAAATTATTAAATGTTGGACTTTAACTGCAGTTTTGCTCTTTCATTCAGGGAATTCATTCATGCCCCTCGGGACAAACGAGATATTTGATTCGATCTGCTCTAAGCGTGTATTTTTCATGCAATGTTTGATACCGCACGGCGAATGAGAGAAAAAAAAACTCTGCATTTCCCGGAAACTTAGATGCACACGGCAGGTAGCGTCAGAAAGCTGCGTGCGTTATTCCGGTCACAAAATGCGGTGCTAACATGTTTGCACTCAGTGCAATAGTTAACTTAATTCGATACGAACAAACTGAATAAACAAAAAGCACTGGTCGCTCACTTACCAAATCTGTAGAGACAGGACAATCACAAGCAACTAGAGCCGCGTCTTCATAAAGAGAAGACTAACGTTACAAGCGAATCCGGATTTCAGCGTTTGCAGATGAGAACAGCTCTCAGGTAAACAATAATCCTCCTTAGACACGTAAGTTATTGTTGTCGAGCGCCGCGTACACTGTTAATCCACACGTGATCCTGCTGAGCTCTCACAGAGAGAAAATGAAAACGAAACTTAATGGCAGCAAACTATAAAAGCAACACTTCACGCTTGTTTTGCCAACAAAACGTGGCGTCTCTGTGGCGTAAACGTGGTGACACTAATGAACATTAATGAAGTTGCACAATAGAGCGCGCTGATTGGTTTGAACCAAGCCTTACTCATGCATTAATGCATCACACTGTAAGACGTAATAAGACTCACTCTGGCACAGACACCCAGTCTGCACGCTGGAATACAACGCTATTATGTCATGACCGTGACGCAGCTTCAAAAATTCGTTTCAAACAGGAAGTACGAATTTGCTTGAAATACCGCAAAAACAACCAATTTATACTTTTTTTGTGAAATATAGGTGTCCTAATAGTGTTTTTAGCAGTGTGGGACACATATACGACTGTCAACAGCTCAAAAAATGTGTTTTGGTGTTTAGTGACCCTTTAAGGCTGTAATTGCTGTCTAAGGTGCATGAACAAATCATTGAGCAAAGTATTGAGCATGTGATTTTTCTGCTTTTTTAAATTTTTTTTTATTTTACAAATTTGTAGCCATTTCAATCAATCTTTTTCACATTGTCAATATGGGGTATTGTAATTCTATTGTGTGTAGAATTTTGAGAAAATAAATTAATTTAATCCATTTTGGAATAAGCCTGTACCATAAAAAAATGTGTAAAATGAAAAGCGCTATGAATACTTTCCAGAATATTATATTTTATATCAACATAGGGGAAAAACTCCATGTAAAATAAGAACATAATGTATTTTTTACAATTTACAGTAAAATACCACGGTTGAATTTATTACCTGTCTGTTCCAGTTTCATTGGTTTCTACTGCACCCAAAGCCTGAATGATAAAATAAGCTTGTTTCCTGTCCATCAATGGGAGTCTGACCAGCTTGTAAGTTGCTTCATTATGTCACTCCTTCCTAGACACACAGAAAAACACAATAAAGATAGCACAACATGAGTTTAAACATAAAAACTGTAAATATCGTGAATTGTACACAATTTCTGAAATAGGTCAAGGAGTTGTGATTTCTCACTTTTAATTCATTTTATAAGGACAAACCAAGACATTTACAGTTTGAAGTTGAAAGCTGCAAAACAAGACGTAAGTACAGAGCCAGAGCTTACATCACCACGGCAACTGCATGCAACAATCTACTATTTTAGGCTTGATTTAACACTCATACTACAGTTGCTAACCCCTGGAAACTTTGTATGTATATTTAGCACTCCACATATTTGTTTATGGTAATTACTTCAAGCCGCCACAATTTTTTTCACTGCAGGCAAAAGGAATAGAGCAAAATAAATCAAGAAACAACTTACAAGAACCAAGATACTTTATGGATTGTCCCTATACTAGGTACACATATGCAGACTCCTAATCATTCAGATATTTAGACACTGATTTGGACCAACACGCCCTGCCTACTACACCAAGAGTTCTTAAAGCAGCGAACGCGGTATTGAAATTCACTACATTGCAAGAAAAATACAAAGGAAAATATAATTATGCAAGTATGACCTTACTATATTTCTTACTATATTTCTGCAGAGATACATGCAGAATTTTATAAAAATAAAATAATAGTGATAAAATTAGGTTAAAAAAAATAAAATTAGATTTGGTTAACATTTACCAATACATTTTGCAAGCTACAAAGCTACATTAAATCTCCAATGTACATTCACTAAAAATGTTGAAAATATTCAGTAGATAATTGTGCACACTTTTCAATATAATATTGACAATATTAATCATATTTACATAAATATAAGTAGATAACTGCTCAAGCTATTGCTGATTGAACGAGTACAACCAGCCTGATCTCATGAGAAAACGTAACTATTTTACGTTTTCTTAAGTGGCTAATTCATAAGTGGCTAATTAATAATAGCAAAGTCGAGTAAAGGAGGTCAAGCCTTCTCATTTATGGCTCCCAAACTCTGGAATAGTGGAGTGGAGAGCATGAGACTGACTCCTGTGACGCTCCAGGGACAGACGGGTCTTCACTATGGTTCAGTTTCAAGCCTCCGCCGTTGAGACTGCAGCTTTGCACAAGTCGTTTGGCCTGCAGAGAAATGGAAATGATCGTGCTCAACTGAGTCTGGTTTCTCTTGAGTTTTTTCTTCACTTTCACCAGTTGGTGAAGTTTTTTTTTTCCTCGCCGCTGTCACCAATGGCTTGCATGGTTCGGGATCTGTAGAGCTATGCATCGATGAATTTGCTCTTCAGTGTTTGGACTCTCAGTAGTGACTATTAAACCGCACTGAACTGAGCTAAACTGAACTGAACTTAAACTCTGAAAATTGAACTATTTACTATGATCTTTTATGTGAAGCTGCTTTAACACAATCTACATTGTAAAAGTGCTAAACAAATAAAGGTAAATTGAGTTTAATTAATTCGGATACATTCGTATAAGTTCTGTCATACGAAAATTTACGATTTTAAAACGGAGGCGTGGCACCCAACCCCGCCCCTGAACCCAACCATCATTGGAGAATGAGCAAATTGCACGAGATTGTACGAATTCATACGAATTAGCCACTAAATCAAAAAGTTACGAATTGCCCTGAAATTGTGTTGGTACAGCATGGCATGAAATGCAACAAAGAACAAAGTGAACTCTGAAAACTGGACTGACACACTTTGACACAATCTACATTGTAAAAGTGGTATATGGCTGGGTCAGTTGTCATTTCTGTGTGGAGTTTGCATGTTCTCCCTGCGCTTGTGTAGGTTTCCTCCTGGTGCTCAGGTTACCCCCACAAGTCCAAAGACATGTGCTATAGGTGAATTGGATATGCTAAAAAATTGACTGTAGTGTATGTGCGTGAATGAGGCTGTAAGGATGTTTCCCAGTGATTGGTTGTAGCTGGAAGGGCATCCTTCCACAATTCAAAGACATGCAGTACAGGTGAATTGGGTAGGCTAAATTGTCCGTAGTGTGTGTGTGTGTGTAGATGTTTCCCAGAGATGGGTTGCGGCTGGAAGGGCATCCGCTGAGTAAACACATGCTGGATAAGTTGGAGGTTCATTCCGCTGTGGCGACCCTGGATTAATAAAGGGACTAAGCCGACAAGAAAATGAATGAATGAATATGCTGGAGGTGCATTCCTGTGGTGACCCCAGATAAATGAAGAGACTAAGCCAAAAAGAAAATGAATGAATGAACATTTAATTGAAAAAAACATCACTAGTTTAAATAGCTTTTTTTTCTCTGGATTTGAATTTTCCTCAAAACATTTGAAATAGAACACACAAACATATTTAACACTGTTCTATTAGTGTCTAGTTATTTTAATGACAAAACGTTATATACTGTGCCCTTAAGTCAATGATTGTATAAAATACAATGAAGTCTAAATTACAGTATGACAATATATTATATAGCCTTTGGGCATCATGGTGGCGCAATGGGTAGCACGATTGCCTCACAGCAAGAAAGTCACTGGTTTGAGCCATGGCTGGCATTTCTGCGTGGAGTTTGCATTTTCTTGTTCTGTTGGCGTGGGTTTCCCCACAGTCCAAAGACATGTGGTTTAGGTGAACTGAATAAGCTAAATTAGCTGTACTGTATGTGTGTGAATGCAAGCGTCTATGGGTGTTTCCCAGTGTTGTGTTGCAGCTGAAAGAGCATCCACTGAGTAAAACATATGCTGAATAAGTTGGCGATTCAATCCGCTGTGGCCACCCCTGATTAATAAAGGGACTAAGTCATTAAGAAAGTGAATTAATGAATGAGTATAGCCTATGTATATAGGGATGCCACAATGCTTGGCATAATATTGAATCATTCAGTTATATATAACAGTTATATGAATATTCTGTTAATTACTCTCTGATCTGGCTCTGTGCATGTTCGAATGCACGTCCGTTCATGGAAACAAGGCTCCTCATAAGTAAATGTCCCTTCTGTAAGCACTAAAGTAGGAGACTGTAGGATACAGTATGCAGAGTTATTTGGTTGTATTGTTCAGTTAAATTATTAGGTAAAAAGCACTGTTTATTTTAGTATTATCTTTGCTATATTGTATTCACTTCAATTGTATTTTGCTTGTAGTTTTTTTTTTCATTTATTTTTGACAGTGCTTTTTACTGAACACACCATCTGTTTTGTGTTACCCCTAGTGTACATATACAGTTGAAGTCAGAATTATTAGTCCGCCTTTTATTTATTTATTTTTTTTGTTTTTAAATTTTAAATATTAAATATTATTATGTCCTGTCATGATGGCAAAGATAAAATAAATCAGTAATTAGAAATTAGTTATTTAAACTATTATGTTTAGAAATGTGTTGAAAACAGTTACTGCATCCAAATTTACCAGCTTCTATAAATCAATAAAATATTTTAGGGTGCTTTCACACCTGTAAATCGATTCAGTTGTTCCAAAACAGGGATTAAAATTGTTACATTGTTGCTTTTTGCTCTTGGTGCGATTCGCTTTTACACGACAAAGTTTCTAAACGGACCAAAAGAGCTAAAACAAGTCATGATTCCCGCTCAGCTGTCAGGGAAGGTAGTGGTTTGATGGTGTTTGACAGGGTGCACGTGACGTGTCTGGAGAGTGGGGAGGGATGCGGTGGGGAAGGGTCAGAAGGGTGCACGATGTATTTGAGGACCGGGAGGGAGACACATGATTACCGGGAGACTATCACTTGTTTGTGGGCATCCTGGAGTCTCTGTGCATTTGCGGGAGACTACCAAAACTTCCAGGAGACTTGGGATGTCTGTTTAATGACCTCCTGCCCTACTCATAATTCTGTATTCACATAGCTGTATGCCTATTACATTTCCTTTTTATTGTTTGCTTTCTCACTACAATCAATCCGCTCCAAAGTTCATTTTAATCGAGCCGAGACCACCTCATTCAAGCGATCTCGGAGCGATTGTTTTGGCGCGGATCCGAGCGCGATTGCTGGTTTCACATATGCCAAACAAACCGCGCAAACTGGGCAAACTAGACAGGTTCCAAAACAAAAGTGTAGTTGTGAAAGCACCCTTAAAGTCTTTTTTCTTCTTTTAATGAAACATGTGGCTTCTGTGAAAGCAGATATCCCCATTAAACAACCCCAGGGTTGATGGTAGTTTTAAATATTACAGCTACCTTAGATTTTGGCCTTGATGTTGCTGTCTTTCCTGTCAGAAACACACCTTTATTGACACACAGGTTGTGAAACAAATTTGTTCTTGCAGAAAGACAGACAAATCTCAAAAAAGTGAGCCTGCATTATTGCGTGGACTCTGTGATTATCTGGCACCAGAATCAGCCTGAAACATTTAACAAGTAAAGTCGAGCTATTTCCTGGTGAATTAAATGTCAACTTATGGATGTTGATTGTACTGAATATCTCCAGCGTGTGCATTTAAGAATAAACCTCTCTCTGGTAATACGTTAAAGCACAGGGAGTTTCTTCTTTTGTTGATGACCTAGCATTGTACAGAGGAAGATTTGCATGGAGCTCTTGGACCTTAGTCAGGATATATATGTTTTCTTGAGGAGAACGAGATATATTATGTATTTCATGCATATGTATGTATAAGTATGTATTTCACTATGTTCTCCATTTATGGAGAGATACACAGTGCTTATATATTTGCAAGTCAAACCTTTTGTGATCTTGGTTCTGTTCAGTGCAGTGCAGTAGGGCTAGCACTGGTATGAGTCCCAGCTGAGCCAGTTGGCATTTCTGTGTGGAGTTTGCATGTTCTCACATGTTGGCATGGGTTTCCTCCAGGTGCTTCGGTTTCCCGCACAAGTCCAAAGACATGCGGTATAGGTAAATTAAATAAACTAAACTAGCCATAGTGTATGAGTGTGTATAGGTGATTCCCAGTACTGGGTTGCAGCTGAAAGGGCATCCACTGTGAAAAACATAACATCTGCGTAAAAACTTGCTGGATAAGTTGGT